AGAAGGGAAAATAGCTGGGAAAAGTGAAAAGGAGCCAGGAGAAGGAAAAGGGGTTGGGAAAAGGGAAAAGGAGCTGGGAAAAGGGAAAAGGAGCCAGGAGAAGGGGCAGGGAGAGGGGGCCATGCTGGGAGGAAGGCCATGGAGCATCTCCCATGGGATCCCTGGATACCGGGGGTCCCACAGGGAGCTGGGGGTGGGAGCTGCTGGCAGGTGCTGGTGTCTCCATGGGTGACTCGTTTTTGTTGGGAAAAAAATTCCTGAATTTTTCTTTTCTTTTTTTTTTTTTTTTTTTTCCTTTTTTTTTCCCCCCCCTTTTTTTTTTTCCCCTTCCCAGAATTTTCTCCGTGTCCAAGTAAATCCGTGCTCATGCTGTGGGTGTTTTTGTATGGCAGAAATAGAAGTGCAGATTCCCAGTAGTTGCTTGTACTTTGTTTAGTGCATTTGCCAAATAAGTTTATTTAAAAAAAAAAATTTGAAAAGAAAAAAAAAAAAGGGAAAAAAAAAAAGGGGGGGAAAAAAAAAGGGGGGGGGGAAAAAAAGGGAAAAAAAAAAAGGGGGGGAAAAAAAAAGGGGGGGGGGAAAAAAAGGGAAAAAAAAAAAGGGGGGGAAAAAAAAAGGGGGGGGGGAAAAAAAGGGAAAAAAAAAAAGGGGGGGAAAAAAAAAGGGGGGGGGGAAAAAAAGGGAAAAAAAAAAAGGGGGGGAAAAAAAAAGGGGGGGGGGAAAAAAAGGGAAAAAAAAAAAGGGGGGGAAAAAAAAAGGAAAAAAAAAAAAGGGGGGGAAAAAGGAGGGGGAAAAACACAAAAAAAGACTTTTCAGAACTTTTTAAGTGCTGGAAGGGGGAGCAGAAGGAGCTGCAGCCCAGCTCCACAAAAGCCTTTTTTTTTTGGGATTTAACCACATGCCCAGATCTCTCCGGCCTTTCTTTATGGGATGTGGTGAAGCCAGTGCCAAAAATAGAAATCTGGGAATAAAAGGGCCAGGGAAACATTGCTCCTGTTCCAGTTTTCCTGCCTTTGCCTCGCCCTCCCCTCCCTGTCTCGGGGGATGGAGCCGGGACACCCCGGAGCCTCTGGCTCTCCCAAATGACCCCTTTTTATTTTTCCCCCTAAAGTCCTTAAAAATCCACCTTTATTTAACAAAACCCCAATAATTCATTCACTCCGAGCCCTCGTGGGATCCTTGGCGCTCCTCGTTTTCTCCTTCTCTCTGGTCTGTCATTCAAATGATCATTAATTATTATTATTATTATTCTTATTTGCCAAACTCTGATCTCGTTGCCAAACTCCAATCCAGGTTTTTTCCGGACTGTCCTTAGGAAGTGCTCGGTGTCTGTGCCGTAGGCTCCTCATCCGTCTGCAATTCCCGGTTTTTTTGGGGTTTTTTGGGTTTGTTTTGTTGATTTTTCCCCTTTCTCGTGTGCCACAGCCCCGACCCCTCCTCGCACCGTGTTTAATATTTCGTGGAATCGTTGTCCCCTGGTGAATGGATAACACAATAAAAAAGGCTCACTTTGCATTTTGCCGATTTCCTCTGCCTGCCTGTGCTGAGCTGAGGGCATCGGGAATTCCGGATCCTCCCTCTGGCATCCCAACCCCTGGGGAATCCCCTATGCCCTTTTCCACCCTTGGATTCCCCTTTCCCAGCCCCTGGATGCTCAAATGGGATCGGGAATGCTGATTCCTGGGAACTGCAGCCCCTCGAGGATCTCAGCTCCTCCTTGGGAATCCCTTGACTCTCAGGAATTCCCTTTTCCCACCCCCTGGATGCTCAAATGGGATCGGGAATGCTGATTCCTGGGAACTGCAGCCCCTCGAGGATCTCAGCTCCTCCTTGGGAATCCCTTGACTCTCAGGAATTCCCTTTTCCCACCCCCTGGATGCTCAAATGGGATCGGGAATGCTGATTCCTGGGAACTGCAGCCCCTCGAGGATCTCAGCTCCTCCTTGGGAATCCCTTGACTCTCAGGAATTCCCTTTTCCCACTCCCTGGATGCTCAGGTGGGATCAGGAATGCTGATCCCGGGAATTGCAGCCCCTCGAAAATCTCAGCTCCTCAGAAATCCACCCTGGGGATTCCCCTTTCCCAGCCCCTGGATGCTCAAATGGGATCGGGAATGCTGATCCCAGGAATTGCAGCCCCTCGAGGATCTCAGCTCCTCAGAATCCACCCTTGGGAATTCCCCAGCTCTCAGGAATTGCCTTTTCCCACCCCCTGGAGCTCCCATCGGGATCGGGAATGCTGATCCCAGGAATTGCAGCCCCTCGAGGATCTCAGCTCCTCAGAATCCACCCTTGGGAATCCCCCAGCTCTCAGGAATTCCCTTTTCCCACCCCTGTTCTCCCCATCCCTGCTGTCTCTTGGGAATCTCCTTTTTCCCTGGAATCTCCGGAGCCGCCCCATCCCACGGGGAAAACCAAACCCAGCGCTGCATTCCTTCCTTTTCCCAGGAAAAGCGATCCCGTCGCAGCTTCCCTCTGGAAAATCAGCGGGATCCAGGCCGGGAGGAGCCCTCGGAACGCGCCGCTCCCGCTGCAGCCGCAGGCCGGGAATTGTTGGGATTTTTTTTTTTTCTGCTCCAAAAACGCGGCACGGGCGGGGGGACAGGGACAGGGACACAAAGTGGGATGGCAGCAGGTCCCGTGTCACCGTCCTGCCGCAGAATCCCGAACTCCCCCCGCTCCCTTCTGGACACCGGGAGCGGCTCCTCCGCCGGGAATTCGCTGCCAGCGGGTGGCGGTGCCAGCGCCGAGCGACACCGGCCGGGTGGCACCGGGCTGGGAGCGGCTAAAAATAACCTTCCCTCCTCCGCCGGGCTATTTATAGCCCGGCTGCCGCTCTAATTAACTCCCCGCTGCCCTAATTAACTCCTTGCCCTCGGAGCCGCGGCCACCGGGTGGCCCGGGGACAGCCGCGGGTCCCCCCGGTGCCACCGGGGCGGGGACAGCAGCGGGGGCCCCCCTCGGGGTCATCCCCCGCTCCCGGGGACCCCCCCTGACCGCGTGGAGGATCCCACCGTGTCCCCACGCGGGTGGCACGGGGACACCCGTGACGCAACGGGGCCGCCACGGTGACATCACGGGCGGAGTGCCCGCTGCCGGCGTCACCGGCGGGGGAGGGGAGGAGAGACAGCTCCGTGCCTCAGTTTCCCCCGATTTCCAGAGCTTGGGGATGTCGGGATGGGCCGAGCTGCCCGGGAAGGGGGGGTTGGCTGGGTGGGCGGTGCCCCCCCCGGTTTTTTGTCCCCGATGTCGCTCGCAGGGTGGAGACGGAGCCCGGGGCCAGGAGCCGCCGGAGCCACCGGAGCCGCCCAGGCCAGACTCGTAAATCAGCGGCTCCGGCGCGGCTCCGGCCCTGCCCTGTCTGGCTGCGGCCGCCCCAGAGCCAGGAAAGGGCTCGGTGCCCCCCCCGTGTCACCCCCCCGGGACCTGCCACCCCCCTGGCGGTGACACGGCGGCTGCGGTGTCACCCCCGCGGGGACATTCGGGCTGGCATCTGCCCCCCCCGCGTGTCACCGCCTCCCCCAGTGACAACTTTTTTTGGGGGGGTCCAACACCCATCCTGCACCCCTGGGCTGGCTGCGACCTCCTAATTAATTATTAATTACCTAATGGTTTAATTAGCCCGCGCTGTCGATGCGGGGATGGCCCCGGCTGGGTGAGCTCGGGGGGGGGGCTGCACTCGGGGGTGTCCTGCGGGTGGGCATGGGGGGATTTTGG